AATTCTTTTTTATACAGAAAGTATAGATCATTAACCAATCAAAGTCACTGATATTGAGTCATAACTCTAAGTGAAACCCACCATATATGACAATTATTATGCATATTTCCATAGCAGAAATATATTCACAAGGTGAACTCAAAGTTAATATCTGACTGTCTGGTTGAATCAATTTGATCAATGATCCAGTGATCAATGATTCTCAACCAGGGGTACTTGTTTGTTCGGCAGGGAGTGTGTGCAGTTATGTCCACATGCTTAATATCACCTATCAACACTTTGTTTCAAATAAGCTTGTGTGAAATTTGGTTAGCAAACAACCTGAGACGCAAAGAGAAACAGTTTTAGCTAAACGAAATGGATACAGTGGAACAGTGGAAATAAACAGATACAAATAATGAATAAATGCTTAAATTCCTTAGCTTAAAAAGAAATTGGTACAATTTTTGACTGTTCAATTAAGGCAATTTGTATCACCCACTTGGTCCTCCACCAAATAATATCCAGTTAAAAAAACAATTCAAATGAACACATTTGGAACATGACAGCTGTCTTGATGGAGGCTGTCACTGGATTAGACCACAAACAATCATTTCATGTCTTGCAAAAAACCGCAATGTTTGTTTGTGTCATTTATGGTCATTCTGAATCCATATTCCACAACAATCACTTCGGGACTGCAGGGGAACTCTGTGTATGAAAGAGACATTTGACCTTATTGAAGCCTTTCAAAATGCTATTTGTCTGTATAGTTGTCTCTTTGTGTCTCCAGGTCCAGCGTCTCTGTTCTCTCGTCTGAATGGTCAAAAAAACAGAGAAACATTCTAACATTTCATACATTTCATATCCTTTAAAGCATTTCATGGTTCCAAATTCAATATATATCAACAAAAACAAAAAAATCAACAGAACCATCTCCCCCAGTACCACCAGTTACAACAACATAAAGAAAAATATACAGAAATGGCCAGTATAAAATGTACTGCAAGTGCGATTTGGATTACAGGACTACATATATTAGTCTAAGGAAAAGTCGATGTTACATTGCTATTAGTGTGGAATCCATCAGGTCCTTTAATTAAGCCTGTGGGCTGCTGCGCTGCCACTGCATCGTACTGAGCCCGGGGCTCACCAGCACTGACAGTAATGAGCCTGGCTTGTCCCCTGTAGCTAGTGATAAATGACATGGGGCCACAGTGGCTCTGCTCTCTAGCATGTGATCGACAGCAGAGTGAGGCAGAATTCCTGTTCTACTGTGAGCGTTTGAATACATGTATCTCAGAAATACTGCTTAAACAACAGGGGTGAGAAATGTATGTATTAAATGTTGTAAACACAGGGGTTTCTTAGGTCTGCTCATGTACTGTTTTCCTTGTCATCTAGTTATCTATCTCATTGATTGATGCGTTTTCTCTCTGATAAGGATCCAAGTTATTGTTTGGCTCAGGTTTCATTCTATAGACATGCTGTAATTATTTAAGTATTTTGTGTCTATAGCCTGCATAAGTGTAAATGCTAATATTAAAAGATATCAGGAGCAATGCAACATAACAAGCAACAAATATTAAATCAATAAATGGTTTGCATACTTAAAGTAGCCCTACAAAGTGCATCACTGTGCATGAGCAGTGCATCTACAGTCCAGTGCACACTCACATTTTTCCATAGTTTCCTTAGCTGTGTTCAAATTGATAATATGGCCCTGTTGTAATGTTGTAATATAATAATATAATGTAATATACGACTCCAGTGTTGTAGCTAAGCTCAGGTACCTAATGCATGGTACCACATACACTGCATAGCATGTCAATACTATTTCTATTCCTCTTACATCCCTCTCATTATTGCTTGTATTCTGCCCTGCTTTCAATCCAAAACATGTCACTCAGTGAAGGTTTACCTGTTTGTCCAAACAAACCAAAATCCTGGCAACTACTGGTCAGATTGCCATGAAATTTGCTGTGGATATTCATAGCAGATTCATGGCCAGAAAACATAACAACAGACTTTGGCAAGGACTGGGGATTTGAGTGCGGGGAGCACATTACTAGAAACTTACAACGGTAGTGGAGGGAAAGTGTTGAGGCCATCTGGTTTCTCAAGAAAGAGAGATGCCAACTCCAGCGCTGAGTTCAATGGGTAACATTCAGGAAGCCCTTTCTATTAGTTGCATAATTTCTAGACTTTTAAAATTCTCACAATAAATCAAATCATTTGTGCATCTCGGAAATAGTTAATGTATCTGTTTCAGTTTCTATTGGGGTAGCACTTCTTTTCACCAGCCTTTTGCAAACACACCAAATAGCCTTCACAGTTTGCTACAACAATGCACCGCCTGGACATAACGGCACCAGCAAGCCATATCAACTAACCACTTAGCGTTAACTAGGGAAATGGCTGCAAATAGTTTGCTATCAAAATGCTTAAGGCATATACTACATTCCTGCAACATCCCCGGTTTGACTCCAGCGAGCGACTGGTGTCCCCCACCCCTCTCTCCATCTTTCCCCTTGTGTCCTGTTTGCCTCTCTACGACCATCCATTCAATAAAGTGGGTAAACACGTGATTTTTGTGTACTATTAAAAACTAGAAATGCATCAAAATGATGAAATAATGTGCTTCCAAAGAGACACAAATGCAGCACTTCTGTGTTCAAAACTTTGTAACCATACACCAATGCAAGGATGAAACTGAAACCTCTGACACCACCCAGAATTTGAAAAGAGTGACACATCACACAAGCAGCTCCCAATGTGATTACATGGCTTCACAATACTCATGCTCATCAGCCCTGTATGAATTACTTTCATTTTGGACGATTCCATACCTAATGATTTATCAAGAGCTAATGTTCAGTCCAATTCAGGAAGTAGTGTGCTCAATGTAGAAAGGGTCGCCTTACCTTGACTATACCTTAGCCATAGTGTATTCGCCATGCACAGATATTGTGAAAAGTGAAAAAAATAAAATAAAATGATCATACAACATTGCTATAGGGTTGGATGTACAGAAGGAATTAGAAAACCCTTGAGAATCGGGTATAAAATAGAATAAAGCGTATCTGAATTGGAGTTTGGTGTGAAAAGGAGAATTCTGTCTCTTACTCTCATACAACAAACTCAAGGTACGCCGGCAGTCAATTCAAGTGCTGCAGCCATCCTTGGTGGTGTTGGGGCCAAGGCCCTTGTCTTTTGTTGCTGTTAGTAGAGTATTTTGTAGATGTAAAGGAAGGAACTGAAACTTCCCTGTTTTTGTAGAAGCAATGATTTGTTTTTAAGACTCAAGAGAGGCATCTGTAATTCAGTAAATGATCTCTGTTTCCATTTTCTTCTTTTCCACATGAGTCCTCTGTCAACGATTTCTTCTTCTTTGGTTTTATGGTAAGTTTAATCATATTGGTTCTGTTCATGTTATCAGTCTTCTTCTTATTTTCTGTGTAAACAACAAGAGTCTTAATATCATGTTATAAGATTCAGAGCTATATATTTAACAAGTGATTTGTCCTATGGGCAGGTTAATAAAAAACAAGGTGGTTTTTGCCAGAAATTTCAAAGACAGCATGTATCTTATTTTTATTGGGTAGATAAAAGAAAATAATGTTACATATAGACTGAACATTGTATAAAAGTGCATTATGGCTATAGAAACATTTAAAAGGAATAATGTGTCATGGTGGCGTAATGGCAAGAAGATGAAGAATGCTATTTATTGGTGTATTTTTGCCCGGTTTGTGGTTATTATGTGTATATTATACAAATGTGGAACACAAGTCACATTTGTATGAAGACAAATTGCTAAATACTCTGTGCTGTGTTATTGTTGAAATTTGCTTGACTAATAAACTCATTGTTCCACCACCACTGTTGATGACTTTGCCTCTGATTAAATACACTCTGGATGGTTAAAGCTGTGTTACACACCACTGAGAACCAAATAACCCCAAATAGACTCGAACTGTTGAACACAGGAAGACACAACCTCAAGAGTACATATGGGCTGTAGGGAAAGGAAGGAGGTGACCCAGAAGAAAGTCACATAGCTCATGTATCATCCCAACAAACAAGGTAAACAGTACTATTCATAACATAAAGTACAGATTTAACATTGTGTCCTATGGTACAGGTTATTATGGGTCCCACTTTCTAATAAGGAATCCTTTATAAAAGGTTAACTAATGGCTTTTTTAATGGTTACTGAATCATTTATGCTCCTTTTGCCACAACCTTTAACTAACAACGTATTTTAAGAAAAGGGCTGCACACGATCCAACCAAAATTAATTTATTACCAACCTATTAAGTTCATTCTGAAAACCCTTTATTAATGATTGATGTACAACAGCAGACTCCAGTTCTTATTATTAAGTGAGTATTTTATTGTGCTTAATGGTGCACTGGAGTTTTATTGCAAATAAACACAGGGTTGTGTTTGTTTGTAGAAAATAAAATAAACTAACGCTTAATAGATCAATTGCAAGCCATTAATAAGAAGAATTTTGCAACCCAAACTGTCCTATAACTGATCTATAAAGCACTATTACATAATTTTCTTTCCATTAATACAGCCAGTTTGAATTCATAATCCCTTTATGTAGCTATGATGCATTTATAATAATATAAAAAGTGCCTTGAGCCTAAAATGTGATACCTAGTAGTTTTTTAAAAATAAAAATAATGTATGAACATGAAATACAATCCAAAGTGAATGACTGACAACATGTTTCAACACACCAAAAAACACACCAGGGAGCCGTTGTGCATCTGTAGTCAACGTCTTACTCACATGTGGGAACACAGTAGTGTTGTCTTGCATAATCATGCTGCCACTAATTGGTAGTTCGGCCGCAGATGCATTCAGTCGACTGATGAGTTTAAAGAGCTTGCTGCACCTACACGCTGTGGACAACCCACGTACAGAAAGAGCTACGTAATCTTTCTCTGTGTGTGTGTGTGTGTGTGTGTGTGTGTTAATACAGACAGACAGACAGACAGAGGAGCATCTCTTCTCTCTCGCATCAGCATCAGGGGGTTTAATCGCTCTTCTTCTTCTCCATCACCGAGGCGTAGGAGGCGTCTGTCAAACCTGTGGAGCGTCTGTCTGTCTCTCTCTCTCTCTCTCTCTCTCTCTGTCCGTGTGTCTTGTTCGGAAGACACTACACACACCGTCGTTGGTAGTAGTTGTAGTTCGGAAACAATAAACCGGTTTTGCTGCTCTTTGGGGGGAATCTCCGCTGCCATCCCGGAAGACTCACCACATTCTCGCCTTGAAGGAAGTTGAAGCGAACAGGTGCGTGCACACACACAGCTCTTTTATTTCTAGTTTTCTCTCTCCTAGAAAATATAAATTCTCTGTCTTAGAGTATCAGCTACTACATTGTTTAATTTACTATCGCAATGCAATGTCGTTTCACCTTTATTATTTAAATTCATAGGAAATCCATTCATGGTTTCTCAGTTGGGCTGTAACCAATTCCTACAGGTGGGATTTTGAGCAGCCTCAGAGCAGGGCTGCTTGTATCGGCTGCACACATATTTCACACGGTGATATTGTCTTGACAAACCTGTCAGAGAGAAAAGTAGGGCGGTGGCATCGCTTTTGTGTGTGTGTGTGTGTGTGTGTGTCTTGTTACACGTTTTAATACCGTGCGCTTTCAATCCTGGGAGTTGCCTTCTCATTGCGCCTGTTTTGACATCCTCGCAGCTGTGTGTGCGCGTAATTTGGGGGCCAATCAAGCAGCCATGGACACGTTCATGAAGGGTTTCTCTAAAGCCAAGGATGGGGTCGTGGCAGCGGCGGAGAAAACCAAGCAGGGAGTGACTGGAGCAGCTGAGATGACGAAAGATGGGGTTATGTTTGTCGGTAGGTGCTGGGAATTAATTTCATTGATCATCATGTTACATTTAAAAAAATGGGATAGAGAGCTTTAAAACGTTGTTAGTTTATTATTATTATTATTATTATTATTATTAATAATAATAATATCCACTCTGAATATTCAACACATATGTGAGCTTGAGTGCAACTGGGCATCTTGATTATTTGTGGGCTACTATCCTCAATTGTGTTATTCATTTTTTTTTATCATAAAAATATATGATTTTTATCATAAAATCTTTTGACTAAACCAAACTGCATTTCCTTACAGGCACCAAAACAAAGGATGGAGTCACTACAGGTAACAACATATATTAATTCAGGCTTAAATGCATCTGTTCCGTCCTCTTATACAGCCCTTCGGTATAACATCACAGTAATATTTTTAGTGCATCTTTGACATGAAAGTAAAAACAGGTGAGATTCATTTCACTAGATCCTCAGGTGGTCTGTGAGAGATGATGTATGCTGTATCTCTGCAGGTGAGGAAGTGTCATATTTCACTGCCTTACTCAACACAACCTGCCTAACTCCCCATGGGCCAGTTCTGGCCATTTCTCATACATAACAAGCAGAGAAGCCAGGGGACACTGCCTGCTATAGGCCCAGGCATCCAGGGACATGGTTGTCTTGTTGTAAAGTGAGGCTAGTGTGTTGGAAGCTGAATGCACAATGACAGAATGTTTTATTAAAGCCACTTAATGAGGGAGCATATATTTTTTCTCAGTGGGGCCTATATTAGACCTATGATCTGATAATCTGCTCTCAGGAGGTCCACATAGGAAAATATGATGCCCTGTAGCAAAGTGTAGCTCATGGTTTTGATTAATTATGTGAATTTTTTTTTTTTTACTTTCTACTTGACCCCATGGCACTACAAGTTGTGATCAGTTCAACAAAAGACGGATAAAAATGAATATAATTTTGCGTCATGTTTTTTTTCTTCTGCTAATAATCTTACGGCCCCTCAAATTTTACTTGTGAATCCTTGTTGTGGCCCTGATTCCCAGGTTGGGAACCACTAGTGTAGAGAACACCAAAACAAGACATTAAAATACAGTATTGTTTAGCACTGAGTGATCTTCAATTGAACTGATTGACATTTTTAGCCTAAACTCAACAAGGAAGGACATGCTGAATTTAAAACTCATATTTCCAACTGGCTTCTACAAAACCAGTTACACAAAAACTCTACTTGAAAGATTCAAGAAACAGGTCCCATTTCAAAGCAGATACAGTGATATGCAAAATGACACAACAATTGTTCAAACAATAAAGGGCGTGGTGAAACCGTGGGCCTTGAAAGGAAAATGTCCCAGGCTGTCCCAGACTCTACACGTGATGATCCTGTTTTAAATAATTCTGTAGGGCGTTTTTTACCCAGTAGAGTTCAGTAACAGCACAGTTCAACCATATTTGAAAACATGTTTGCAAAAATAGGAAGTTAGCCGGCAAGATATTTTGAAAGAATAAATATCACAATCTTTCTCTTACAAATGAACTCATAAGAATGTAAACATATCCTCTATCAATTCAATACATTTAGGGGTTTTCTGCCAACAGGAACAAGCTGTGGTGAATTAATTGGTTGAGTTACTGTAGTAGTTTTTTTTTTTTTTTTTAGTATTGACATGTGACAATCTTTGCCTTCATGCATCTGTTTGTTTGACTGTAGAACCTAATGGTTGGATTTTGGTAACCTTATTGTTCCTTAAGCACCTTCATCAGGTCAAACTAAGCTACATTCTGTAACCAGTGCAGTATTGTTAAGTGTTAAGTAACAGGTAATAGTGAAAGTAATTTCTCTGACACAATCACTGACAAGTGGAGACAAGGCACTAAAGGGAAGCACCTCTCAAATTACATTTCCTTCCATCCACTGAGATCTGTGTCCTGTTTATGTATTTTTCTACATGCTAATCCTCACAGGTATTGAGGCCCTATAGAGCTATACCCTCCTCAAATACCTTCCTCTTCTTCTGTGGTCCTTACAGTTGCAGGTAAAACTGTGTCTGGAGTGTCTCAGGTGGGTGGAGCTGTGGTTACCGGAGTTACCGCTGTGGCCCAGAAAACTGTGGAGGGTGCAGGCAACATTGTCGCTGCCACTGGATTGGTCAAGAAGGATCCAGCCAAACAAGTAAGAAAGATACTTTTCATGTAAAGTTGAACATAAATCAAAATTTATTTTGTAAAGGAATTAGTATATATCATTGTTGTTTGTTTTGACTTGACACGTACTTATTTGGGCACAATTATAAATGGGCCTATCAAAAGTAAAAAGAAATCTAAGGGTCTTTTCTGCTGATGATAGGGCCCCCTACAGTAGTGTTCTCTGGTGGGTGTGAATTTTCTTTTCCGACCAATTGATTGCGATATATTCCTGGGCAGACACTCAAAATTGTTTATAGTATCACTTAAATTCTAACAGCCATACAGGCAGCTAACTAGGTAACATTAGTGGGCTGAAGTTGTCAGCCATTGCTTGTGTGATGTGAGCACTTCATATGTTGCTTAATGATCCCATATGTTACTTCATGTCGTGATTCTAATGAGTTACAGGTAGGGATTCACCGATATATCGGCTGAACATTGGTATCGGTGGATTTTTGCCATGTTGACTGACATCGGCCTATCAGCAGTCGGTCTTCACCAATATTAATGGCAGATGCTTATCTGTGTGTCAATTGTGCATTGGCTAAATGTTGTGTTGGTTATTTCCATTATTTTTGACCACTAGCACAAATTGCAAGCATATACCGATGTGCTTCATGCATTTCTTTGTTTCCCTGGCACAAAAAGGGTGAATAAATAACAAGAAAAAACATTGGTGTTGGCATCGGCTGTTAGCTAAAATTGTTATTTTAAATAGCAGTATTGGCTGAGAATTTCCCAACTGGTGCATCCCTAGTTACAGCAGTACTGCCTGTGGTAACTTTTGATAGTCTGGTCATTTGTCGTCACCACAACTGTTACCATGAAAAAAAAGTAAAATACACATTTAACAAAACATACAGGTCCTCCAAATGTTGGATGTTGGAAAGGGATAGACATCTTAGTTGACATGAAATAGCAGGGTAAACACAGATGTTACCAATGATACTAATTAAGATTCCGTTCCATTTAGAGTAGCAGAGCCTTTCCAGTGAGCCAACATGCACAATGGAAGCACCCTGACTCAGTTTGACCTGAATGGAACAGAACCTTAATTAGTATCATTTGTAACACCTGTGTTTACCCTACGATTTCACTTAAAATGGCTACTGTGAAAAAGGTTTGTTGTACAAGGACTTGTTAATGTCTTGTATAAACATCCAGAAAAAGGTTTTATCCTATTTTGAAACTTTTTAAAGTATGCACATATAACTGAAATATAACTCAAATATCACTGTACACATCACTGTACACTGTACTGTACACTGGAGCGGCAGTAGTAGGTCAGTGTGTAGGGACTTGGCTTGGGAACCGGAGGGTCGCCGGTTCAAGTCGCACAGACCACAAACAAATATGGAGTGTGGATGGTAGCTGGAGATTGCCAGTTTCACCTCCTGTCACTGCGAGGTTGCCCTTGAGAAGGCAAACCTAACCCCAAACCTGGCTCATGGGCGCTGGCAGCCCCATCACTCCACCATCTCACCCCTTTGCATGTCCACATGTGCATGAACTGTGCATTTCAGCCTGTGTGTGTGTGTGTATATATAAAAAAAGAGTGAAAAATTTCCCCCTAGGGGATCAATAAAGTATATCTTCTTCTTCTTCTTCAAAAAGTGAGAAGAATTCAGATCAGTTTGACTTTAATTTGTCCGACCACACTTGCTGAATGCTTACAGCTCCCCATACACATATACTGATTCTGTTAAACACACCTGTGGAAATGGTAGTTTGCTGCACAGCACATCCCTCCATTTCATGACAGTGGCTGCCAGCTATAACACTTCACTTTGTCAAAATGGCCTCCTGACCTTGAGTCATTTGTCATCACTTCTCGTGTCTGCTGTGTGTCTTTCTTCTCTGAAATGAAAGCTGTTACATATTGTTAGCTTTCCTACATTGTTCATCAGTCAGTCTGGCCATTGCTTGTCCTAGGAGGTAGTTTACCGTAGAAATCTACTGCCGCTACACAAGTCAAATATGAAAAATGGTTTTTCTTTCCCCCCTTTCAGTGGGTTTTTATTCCATTTTTTGCTGTCTGTTCTATTTTACCTTCCCTTTCTCTCTAGCAAGGATTTTGACAGCTGTTCATATAGATTTTTCCAGATACAGTGGTCGTCAGGGCTGTAGCTATCATTTAGACTCTGAGGTCATGTCTTAGGTAGTTTTTCTGTGAATTTGGGGGTTTAGCAACATGGGGGGAGTTACATTCTACAAAATCTAAGACAGCACATTATTTTCACATGTAATATCACATATGGAACATTGTTTCGCATGTAATACATTTACATAAAGCCATCGTTTTTCACATTTGAAACAGTATTTAATATACTACATATACGCAATATGTGGTTTTTAAACACAAGTTCAAGAATTTCACCTGTTCTTTTTGGTAAATGTAACCACTTTGACTTTAACCACTATTAAAAATAAAATAAACTCTTAATAAAGGATTTGGTATTTCTCCACCAGAATTATTCATTTACAGAAAATATAACATTTAACTAAATAAATAAAATATTTTTTAAAAACTGTAACTTTAACATACAGTAATTCCAGTGTTATCTGATAATGACAATTTACTTTAAAGGCACCCTGTGGAGTTTTTTGACACTAGTAGTGCTATTGAGCAATGTTTTCACGAGTGCGTCCCTGTTTTGTTTGCACTCTTGCACAAAAAGGAATACAAATTCACCAAAACGAAGACTGCACGTAAACATGGTTGTGCACATATTTAAACAAATGTATTTAAAAATGTTTTATGAGGAAGGGCATTTAACACATTTGTTAGACCTAGATAATACATACAGTTTATTTTGGTGAGAATAAACAAGTTTTATAAAACAGTTTTGTTTGTTAAGAAAACTCCACATGGCACCTTTAATTACCACGTGCACAAGATTCCCAACCTAAATCTCTTTATTTTAACTTTTGTTTTATACCAGCTCCTATTAGCACAGAAACTCTTTTTTCAAATAGGACCAACTTTACAAGAGGAACAGATGGCCTTAATGTCTGCTTCTGCTTTTTAACACAGAAAAAAAAAACAATGCTATCACTGTTCTTCTTTTGTTGTCAAACTGTGGCAGTTACACTTCCCCGAGGTTGATATCTGGATTAATAAGGTGTTAAAATTGGATATAATTCTGAAGGGAGGACTAAATTTGCCTGTAATTACCCTCCTTTTTCATAACATCACTGTGAGTAGCAGGAAATGATAAGCCAATCAAATATTTCCCTGGGCAACGCAAACACTTCGCTGAGTGTTTGTTGTGATGCTCAATCTCCCGTCCCTTAATTAGCAATGGAACACGGGAATCCATAACAGCAGTTTAGACACCAAGAGATAACAACACACACATATGTGCACACATTCATCTCTGCTTTAATTGGGTGTGATTAGTAAAAAGTACCCCTATAAAAAGATAAAATACCAAGTTATTTTCCTGCCAATGGCAACAACTGACACCTGAACCATTTTCTTTTTTCAACAGCTCTTTTATTAAGGTAATCAGTCCACTGCTTTCATCCCATTCATTTGATTTCATTATCAAAAGATGCTTAGAACATCCTTCCATCTTTGTTAGCAGTGGTGATATTAAGGCACATAGATAGCTATTCACCCTAAGGGTTAAAACACTGATGGAGATCCACCTGGAATGTGATCAGCTTCATTATGAGGACTGAGGAAGCCAAACTGGCAGGCAAAACAGACAAACAGATGGACAAACAGACGCAGAGTGGACTGACTGATGGGGTGATAGTAGACTGACTGACAGAGGAATAAACACAGAGATTAAAAAAGAAAAAAAACATCCTGGTATTCCCAGCGAGAGATTGACATGCAGACAGCAGCAGATTGTCCTCATTTAACTATCATTCCCAGGCGGCACAGCCATTAAACGTCATTAATATTGATTTCATTTAAAAATTGATGCCAGGTTGAGAGAGAGCCCATCAAAGATCGTCTCCTGTGTCTGACACACACACATAGACACACACCAGCAAACAGAGGATGGTGGGATGCTGAGTCTGATTAATCTCCTCATCTGGTTTTTTACCAATTCATCAGCTGCTGGTGACTCATATCAGGAGACACACAAAAGCCAGAACGGTAGAATGAGAGGGAAATTACAATGAGATAGAGGAGCAGGCAAAGTGGTCGTTAGAGTGGTGGGGAGCTGAGGAGGATACATGACAGGACATAGAAAATGGTCTCAACAAACACGTCTTATTGCTCAGATCTTTTCGGCAACATGCAATAAAAGAGGCTGCTGTATATTTCATGTCCCTAAGAAGCAATCTCTGCTTGAAAATTGCTTTGAAACAATACAGATTGTAAGTGAGGTATTACTTTGATTTTGGCTGGAAAGATTAGGGTTTACACAGATGTTTCAGGTTTGGTGTCCTTAAAAATGAACACATTTTTAACTTTTGTCCAAAGTTGAATCTGACCACAGTAAAAAAAAAGTCCAGTCTGTGTTTATTGGCATACGGAAGTTCGAGTATATGTTTGTGTGCGTGTGAGTGTGTGTTTACATGAGCACACACGTCTCTCTGGCTCTGCTGGGCGAACAGATGGAGGCTTGATGGGTGGTGTTAAATGCAACAGCAGGAGGAGAAGGTGCAATAACTGGTTTAAGGTTATGTCAGCCGCTGTTGAGCCTGTCACACACATCGGCACACTGTGACCACTCCCCATTAACGAAGGTCAGTTCAATGGCACGGTGCAATCAAAGCACCATTTCAGAGAGACGTCACTCCCCCAACCCCCACCTTCTTCATTAGCGCTTCATGCCTCGTTTAAAAGACAAAATGCATTGTTTATAACAGCCTTTTGGAACGACACATAGAGGTGTATCGGTAGGACGATGTCATTTGTCAGTGCCTTCTAAAACCGTTACAAATCACACCTGCAAAAAAAAGAATTTTTTAGTCCCTCCAGGAAGTTGTGATATTGGCGATTGCAACAATAAACGCAAATTCAACCAATTCCTTTGAATTCTGCACAGCCTTGCAGTTTTCGTTCAATCACCGCCACTTTTCCGCAAATTTGACCAATTATTGTAGTTTTCCATGAGTTTCACAGATAATAGCAGACCGCCACACAAAACATTTATTATATACAAATAAAAATCACAACTTATTTTGCGAACGGACCTCCAGTGTCATGGTTACAATAATAAAATCATATGGTCAGAGAACGGTCATGTTTGAAGGAAACCAACGTTGACTGTCGGAAGGGAAGGGCTTTGTTGACCCATCCAACCACCCCTATCTACCTCCTCCCTCTGTGGACTTGGTGGCTTTACAACAACCTCACACTATGTCTGATGGATAAGAGGGATAATTCTCACTGCTGCTAGAGGTCTTTGCCACATCATAAACAAAATGTCATTTTGGGGTATTGGCCAAAAAACAATCGATGCTGTTGTTTAGTCTAACCTAAGCAATCACTAGAATTTTTTTATCGAGTTCTATGTTCGAGTTGTGATCTTTAGACAATGCATGGTACCTTTCTTAATTTGATACAATGATCACCCCTTTAAGGTATTGTTGATTGATTTCCTTTTTGTCTTTCTCCAGGCTGATGAAGCCTCAGCAGCACAGAACGTGGCAGAGTCACCGGTTGATACTGACCCTGCTGATGCTACAGAGGTAACACTAGGAACTGGTTGTCATACAGTCAATAATATGAAGGTGCTTTTCAAAGTTAAACGTACTAAAAAGAGTTTTTACCTGGTTATGAAACAGTCTCAGTTCAATACTGATGCCTCTATATGACCAACATAAACTAGACCGTTGGTAAGAAGACTATTTCTACATGGTCATTCTCAATGCCTGCCACCAGTTCAGATTTGATTGGATTCCCCTTGAAATCAATTAACTGAGGAGGAATAAGCACTACTATTTTTCTCCATTGAGGCCACCAGAATCAAGACAAAATGAAAGTTCCCTGTAGGGTCTTTGTAGAAGCAACAGTTGATGGAAAGACTATATAAGATATAATTATTCAAAACCTCAGTGAGAGTGATATTATACAACTGCTGAAATAAAATATTTTAACATGCTGCTTAGAAGCAATTCATGAACTTTAAAACAACTAAATCAGGTGGAATATATAGGTTCTGGAGCAAGGGGAGCATAGGAACAATCATCCTAGAAGGATATTGAAATGTATTTACTTTGAAGGTTTGTGTATTATATAGCATTTGGCAGAAACTTTCATCTAAATTGCACACATCTGGGTTTGGATTCCACTCCAAACATGTTTAAAAATGAAAACAAATCAACAAGTGAAATCTTGCTGATAAATGTGACATCAACCAGAGTAATTAAATAAATCATCTTAATGGGTGTAACATTACCTCAAGTGGTTTATACAGTTCCTGAGAGGTAATATCATTAAGTTGTATGTTCACATTTTATTCAAGGTTAATATGATTACATTGCAATTTACATACAGGACAATAAATTCACCGCCCACCTCTTGTCCCTTTTCTCTCTCAGGAGGACACCGATGAATAAACTGATTGAGAGCCTCACAATCAAAGATCAATGACCGAAAAACATTCCATGTCGCTCTGCCAAGTCCGTTGTGCCTCGTTTTGGTCCCTTTATGGAGTCTGTGCCCGATGTCTCTGTGTATGTGTGTGTGTGTGTGTGTGTGTTTCTGTTTGTTACGTATGTCTATACACCGGTATACGTGCAGATGTTGTAGTGAGAAAGAGAGATTGTGTGAGTGTGCGTATGTAGTCTGTGTCAGTCCTGAAAGGGACCTCAGGTGTGTGTCGTCTGTGACCAGCAGTCATTTACAGTGATTCCCCACCACTGAGAATGCCACCTGGTCACTGTGTGTGTGTGTGTGTGTGTGTGTGTGTCTATCTGTATGTTATCTGTCTAACTGTATGGCTATGTCAATAACTCAAACATGGAAATATACCACAATTTACCACTTCAAGCACCTAAGTGTCTCTATATAAATGGACAATTTACAGTGATCTGTTTGAAATGGAAACATAATGATATTCTCTATTTTTGTCTGTATACTGTCACTGTTTTTTGCGGTGGACTATTAAGTGCTGAGTTATTTGTGCATTCATATTGTAATTTTTTAAGTTATCTCTACTATGACAAATATATATCATATTGAATGGACTTTTGAAAAGCAAGAGCATGTCAAACTACTCAGCTTTACCGCTGTGATATGAATTTATTTGGAGTTTAGTGTTGAATAAAATTATGCATAAAGTGTGTTGTTGCTGAATTGTTGTTGTCATTTATCTGCATGTTAACATGTGGGGTCAATAATGTTGTTAGAGTCCAAAATAAGTACCTGGAAGGAAGAAATGTGAGCTTATTTATCTAAGGATATCGATGGGATGCAGAGATCTAATAATGTTATTAGACACTTTACTAAATAAAGAAAGCTCTTTTCCAGCCAAGTAAGAACAAAAATACTATATATAACTAAAATACATGCAGCAAACATACACTTTCATATATAATTATCTATCGCTCTTCAATCAAAATAACTTACAAGCATGTGCATGAATCTCTAAAGCATAATTGATGGTGGCCCCTAAGAACAAAACACATAAAAAAAGCAAAAGACCAATAAGAGATGAGCAAGAAGAAGATAGCTACAAATAGTAAAACATACAAAAGTGAAAACACAAATATTAAGATCTAAAACAAGAATAATCTGCAAATTATAGAGTACATACAAGGAGAAATGCTTCAGAAACACTATAAACCAGAATTTGTATAAACCAGCAGCCTGGAGCCCTTCCGGTCTATCAAATATTTTTATTATGTGTTTGAGTATCTGTTGCATTTCTCCTAATGTTTGCATTTTGAATGGAAACTGGAGGGTGAGGTGAGGGTGTAGCAATCTGCAACACGACTGAATGCCATTAAATCCCACACACTGGTCCTTTAAGTGTTCAACAGATTATTATTTATTTATCATTTATTTATTTAGAGAAATGTAAATAACATCAAACGTCATAAACAATACTAAATAAAAAGGTTGAATCTTCATTTTCAATACAAAACGTCAATCTACAGTTGACCTCAACACATCCCTCCCATTGAATTTAAGAATCTTTGTTCACAGCCTGTTTTACTTTTGATGATTTGATGATATTATACACTGCAAGTTGTGTAATATAAATAAACTATTGCAAGTGCAAATTAAGACAATGTGACATTGTGATACCCGAACTCAGCTGGATATGAAATTTTCTTATCCCTCTCATTATTGCCTCATGAGAAAGTAGGACAGTGTGTGAAAGCATGCATATGTCAGAAACCATCTGGGGGACAGAAGAGGACACGGCGCTCATGCACTAATAACAGGTTGCTGTTTTAAGGATTTAGCAATATTAGAATTCAGGATTAGACGTTGCTGTTGTATTTGGTACACTTTCAGCAGAGGAAAATATGTCTTCTGGTTTGAAGGCAGAGATAATCCTGCCTGTAACACCGGTATGTTATTACAATAAAGCATGCTGGCCTTGACTATGTGCTGTACCCAGCTGTCCAGCAGCAGGCTATATACATTGTGTTTTAATAAAGAAGGAGATAGACGTGCACTTACAAAAGTCCGTCCTTGCGACTAACTCCTCCAGCATCTTTCCTCTGAGAGACGGTTCTGCTCCATTAACAAGACCACCAAATGCATCAACTGTTTTCCCCCTTTTTCAGTTGCCCATCAACTGTACTGTAGTGTGTTTTTATTTTTACTTTTTGTACTACAAGTGCAGCTCTTTTGTGTAAATGCACACTAAAAGAAATAAACTCCCCTTCCCAGGGTTAAAAATCATTTGTTTAAAGCCACATTTCTTGATGTAAACATGGCTCCAATCAGTTTACATTAAGATCAGCTCTCCCAAGAAAACAGTGGGTCACTTAATTCACCACTTTTCACTTTGGTTTCTTAGTCATGAATCCTACAGCGAGGCCTTGGGCTCTTTGACTCCTTGTTTTTATTGGTCATCACAGCTCCATGCAGAGACAGGTACTGTGACAACAACACGATATTTATGTTTTGCATTTTTGCTTAGAATCATGTGAAAAATATTGATGCAAGTTAAGTCCCAGCTCAACCACAGCTTCAGTGTCAGGACACTAAAGCTGTGATATAACATGTTAAACTTGTAACCAGCTATAAATTTCCTGTATTAAACTGAATTTCAATGAAATATTTCAAGTGTTTTTGGTTGTTTGTGTCACAGAGTTGAAATTCATGTTTCTAATATAATGCATACCAAAGCAATCCTTGTGTTAACCAGTGAATTGACCAATTCCTCATGGTATTTAGAGTTGACATGTGGCAGGATTACAGTAGGGCACCGAGGTTAGGGACACATAACGTCAACTGATGGTTCTAACCAGCTTTGACACAATGTTTTGTAGTTTGTAAGGTACTTTGTGGTGGTGGAAGAGCAACAAGGCAACTTTCTACCTCAGTGTAAGTATAATATCTGAAAAAAGAGACCTAGAAGCTAGCTAAAGAAGTTATCAAGAGGGACTAAGGCTGGACAATAATGTATTGAATTATTTGATTCAAATTGTATTTTAGTCTATATTAGGAAAATCTAATCTCTAAATTTCTTCTCAGTAGCATCTGAAAAAATGTGCCCATCCTCACCTCAGTGTCTCAAATCCTCACAAGGTTAGGCCCTGCGGCCTCGGCAAGCTCATATTCAAGGAGATAAAAGACCTCATTCACACCCTGACCAATGAAAAAGAAGCAGCTGATAGCTTGAAGAGGAGGCTAAAATTTGGAGACTCAACCTGGAATAAGAGCTCACTCCACGGTAGAGAAGGAAGGCAAAAGCGGCTCTAAAAGGGTTTTAATTCTTAGAATAATATTAGGTGTAATCAAGAAGTGTTTAAGATGATGTTTTAGGTCACGGCCTAAGGACTTGCTACACCAGTCTTTTTTTTTTTCTTTTTTTTTTTTAAATTCGACTGCGTCTGTAGAGAAAGCAGATATGATCCGGAGAGAATCCTATCAAGATGTTGATGACGTCACTCTGCATAAGGCCGAGCTGGGAAAATGTGCTCAGCACCAACTAAAACCATCTGACAGACCTGCAGAATCCCATTGATGTCTGAGAGCTTGCAATGGAGCAGCTTGAGGACATAAAAAGGACCCACATGGACAAGGTGAGCACATGCAAGACCACCAGAACCTGTTGCACATCAAGCTGAGGCTGGGTGCAGAGACTGCCACCTACAGGAAACTGCAGGAGGGGGAGTAGAAGACATGTGGAACCATCAAAAGGGGTTGGAATATATGTGATGATTTAAAAGAAAGATGCTGAAGTTGGTGCAAAAGGTACAATATTAGCAGCCAAATCTCAATCTCACCTCCTTCTAAGACATAACATAAATTAGATAGTAGCACTCAAGCCATCTTGTTCTATTGCGGGTGTCTAAATGTCACTCCAGGCTGTAGAAACCTTTAAATCCAATGCAGGGCTATTTTAGTGCTGAATGAACCTTTGGGACCAGTGTTGCACAATAAGATATCAACAGAATTTATTGCTGTGTTTCTGTTTGCCTGTGTAGCAATAGCCACAGGGAACTGTCAGAGCAAATCAAACTTTAACCAGCTCTTCCTGTCGGACCAGTCAAACATTGTTATGATTACCACTTAAAACTCAGACACTTTTTAGTGACACATTTAAGGATCCGTCTGGTGACATTCTATATTTTCCATATTGTCAACAAATCCCACAACCAAAGCAATGAAATGATCTTTTTAACAAGTACTGCCTGTGCAGCCAAAGCCTGATGTGGCTTCCTCACTAACACAGAAAACCAAACCCAACACTGAAGCATGGTTGACTATTTCCTTCCATTATCAGGAATTAATGGACGACGTGGAGGCCAGAACCGTCCTTCAGAGGCAACATGACTGATGAAGCTTTGTGCATGTGCACACACTCTGTGTTTGTTCCCACTATATAAAAGTCATGGGGTTTGCATTATCAACTTGCCCTCTACCATAGCATTTGACTTTATTCTTTACATTTTTATCATGATGGTAATAACCCTTATGTCATGGAGCTTGACTTGAAAAACACATGCAGAAAATAAGAGAACAGAAAAATGCTGTCATTTATTTTTTTCTGTATTTAAGCCCACATTATAGTGATGTATTCTGGTGGGGGCGGAAAAAATTAAGGGAGAAATTAAACCAAATATTCACTGCTGTGTTGACTGACATCAACAACAGTAATCCAATCGTACATCAAACGCCTACATGAGAATATCTGACAACTTGCGTGTGCCATCTCTGACAGCTATTTCTCAAACAGTATAAAAATGTGTGTTGCAACAAGTTGAATTTATCCTCATGATTAAAAAATAATCCGTACAGTTCGCAGTTCCACAAATTTCAACCTTGTTCAATCTGGCAAGGTCATGTCCATTTGACAGGTAACAAGTGATGGAGAGAACTGATGAAGATGAGATTCTGTATTTCACTTCCTCTTCCTCCTCTTCAGGGCCTTCCACTCTCCCTCCTGAGTGGCCAAACTGCCAAAGAGTTCCCTCACTTTCCTCTTCCTCTCTGCATCTCTGAAACACAGAACAAGAAAAAAATGTAAAAGCTTTTACTCACAGAAGCATTTCACCGAAACATTCTGGTTTGCCACCGGGTGTTATCCACACCTGTTCATGACCTCGTTGAGCTTCTCTCTGGCCAGGAAGCGCGAGTCCTTCCTGATCTCCCTCAGAGCGCCCTTGAACTCTTTCTTGTACTTGTGCTTCAATCGCTCCTTCTCTCTCTCCTCTCTGGTGCTGCCACGCTTCTTTCCATAGTCCAACCTGACAGATATTGAATGAGCAATTCAGATATTAAAAACGGATACACTTACAGCTCATATGAATTCTTTATCTCAGCTTCTGCGTGGCAAGATTCATTTCAATGTTGTTAAAAACTGACTTTCACTTACACTTCAACTATCTTGGGCGTGAGCAGCTTCAGGGGAATTGGCTTCTTCTTCTCCAAAACTAGCCGACTGTGAGACACAGGTACGCTGCTGATGGTCTCCAGGATCTCCCTGTGAAGCTCCTGCAACAAAACAACAAACATTGTAATTAACAGATACACTGACAGATTAGGAATAAAAAAATAAAAAAAGGAAAGTGTGAGACTTCAATGTATAAATCCCTCTTTGGCACCAACCTGTAAAAGCTCTGGTAATGCTTGGGCTGAAAGATGTTTGGAAAGCAGTGTTCTGATTGGCTGGAAGATGAATGTGAAGGACATGAGGTCTTTGTAGAGCAGGCAGCACCGCTTCACAAGGTCCAGGCAAGTAGACAGACACATCAACCTGCCGAGAGAAACATAAACGGAGATGAAACTCTCAGTTTTATAGTTTGTCCTTTGTCTCATTGTCTCAAAAACACTATGGCATACAGTAGGTGCAAATGGTTAAGACTTAAGTGAAAGCTCCTTGTACTGTATCTGTAGCAACAACTATTCCTCACTCTTACTCAACGAGTTCAACATGATGTGTGCAAATACATGCATTCATCTTTACACATTTAGACACACTTTCATGCAGTGCACACTCGCTCTGTCCCTCCCTAACAAAAGGCTGTATCACCCTGGCAGTAATTACCACTAGACTCTTGACACACAGCTGCTGGTGTCCATGTGTCATTGTGAGGCCTGAAGGAATGCAGAAATTAGAATATGACTGGGCACCCAGGTGTGAGGAGCAGGAGTCAGTGCAGCGCTGCTGTTCAGAACAATGTGGAGGAGACTGGACTGGATCAAACCTCCAGGAAAGGCATTTTAAAGATTACTTACTGAGTATTTAGGCCTGCAGTAAGCCTCACTGAGTTATTATGAATGCAAATACTATACAACAGCTGCGGCTTTCAAATGAATACATTGCATACCTTGGTGTATGCTTCTGGCTAAAGATTACAGACAAAAAAATGCTTATTGCTTCTTTATTTCTAATCTTTAACCCATATTGGATACAAAAACGATTAAAATGGGGATATTATAAGAGTATTCTTCGAGACATCTAGGTTAACTTATTCAATCAATCAAATTCAAATTAATTTCTCTCCGACATAACCATGTTTGAGTCAGAGTCTTTTATGGCATGTTGTAAGTATTAATTTTAGTTGAGTACAAATAAAAATGTATATTCTCACTAACTGTGCACAATCATGATCCACCGAAGCCTGTTTGCAAGCTTTGCTGTGTGCCCACACACCAGCTGCTGTGTGAAACCACGCTGGCGACTCATCAGATTCACACGAGTGGATGTATCAGCTCTGAGCCGTACAGTCTGGTAAACAGGTAAACACAGTTTGATCATCTTAGGTTTTTATATCCGTGCAGTGGTGGCCATTAATGCAGACCCTAATCACACATTAATTCTTTATCAGCCCTGTGGGGCATTTTTATAAAGTGTTGTAAAGTAATTGGTTGAAATAGAGATCTCAATGAGTGCTTTGTGTGCTTTCATTCCATCTTCAGTTTTTTTTTTTTCATAAGAGCAAATGAGCTTGTCTTTTCTTTCACGTCTATAAAGGTAATTAATCAGCCTCACTTCATCTCTTCCTGTCTTTTTGGTGGTCGTATTCTGGTCCAAACTGAACACAACAATCTGTGTGAAGACAAAAGGCTTTCTCACACTTTATCTCCCTTCCAACTGGGCCTATAATTGTTTTCAAGAAAAGTGTTCACTGCTGTTATTGCATTGTATTGTTACAGACTCAATTATGGATGGCCAATTAAGGCATTGTGAGATACGTTGTTTCTGAATGTTTCTGGGGGTCAGCTGTCTAAACACAATATGTCTGAGGACACCAGTGGACGGTTTCTGCTTAAATTTTAAACAGGTAAACAAGCGGCAGTAATTTAGGAAAGAAATTACAGCAATGCTCTTTCTTGCAGTCTTGGATAAGTTCAAAACTCAAAACTTTACTCCCATGCCCAAATTACATTGAAAGACATATTAGTTTCCTTTAATAATTTCTCCTATCGTTACAGGCTGTGAGGACTACAAACCAATTCCTTTCCCTCCTGGTGTATCCTCACCCCCTCCTACCTATGGTGATCTCTGTCGAGGTCATTTTTGAGGTCCAGGTGTTGGGTGGCCGACAACGGAAGGCTCTTCTTGCTCCAGCTCTTGCAGGACTCGGAGTCTGACAACACCAACAGGTCACTGCACTTCCCCGACGGCCTAAAGGGCGGCACCACAGCATAACCTGCAACACAAAGTCGAAGTTTGTCTGGTTGGTTTCGACTTGCGAATGCTGGCACCAAAAAAATGCGTGATAGACTTGTTGTAATGTGCTGTGAAAGATGAGTGTGCAGCTGACCTAAAGAGGTCTTGTCCTTCACGGCCAGATGTAGCGTTCCAGCCAGGAAGTTGATGAGCTCGGGCAGGAAACGCTTTGAAAAAGAGACGTACTCCACCGCCAGACAGCACAGCACTAAACCTGACGTCACGTCCTGTAATGATTTCACTGGACACTAAGGATGTAATAATGAAAAACACACACAATTATGGTTAGAACAGCCAAAATAACTCCAACAACACAGAACATAACAAACAAGAGTGAGTGTGTGTACCTTGGTGAGAGCCTGGCTGATGTAAAGCAGCGCTGGAGTGGTAACAGGGTGTCTGAAGTCAGAGGTAGGAAACAGCAGGGCCGTCACCTTCAGGTAGATAAGCTTAAGACACAAAAACATACGGTAACTGTATTTGTCACATACAGAAGACACATACAATACACACATCATTTGCACTGGGGGTGGACGTGGGGTTGAGTTGAGAAACATTTAAAGCCTTAAAAAATTCAACATGTTTACGTTAATTTCCAGCAAATAATCCATACCATGTCTAGTGTTGGGAACGCAACGTGCCCTTTGACCTCAAGCTCCTCCTCCATGCTATGACCAGCGTCTCCCAGGATGCCCTGCATGGCCTTGCAGGCTGCTTCCGGGTAAATCTGACACATACTGTACAACTCTCTACCGAGAGAAAAAGAAATAGAATAGAGAAGGAATTAACAAAAACTCTTAACTGTGAAGGAATAAATATTTGAATCAGGAAGAACACTTGAGAGAGAAAGACACTTTTTGAACTCACGGTATGAGCTTATCTATGGTGGTGAGTTCAGGTGGACTCCTGGTGGCCAGTTCTCCAATGTACTCCAAGAGAAAGCCGAACAGTTTCTGAGACCAACAGAGATTGTAAGTTCATACAGCACTGAACGCAACCCAAGTACCCCACCAATTTACACAAACATAGACTCCATGTTGTACCTGCAGTTTGAGCTTATTGCCTACAGCCAGACTAGGATGGTTGCATTTCTGAGTCCTGGCCACGATGAGGCGCTGGTTGTCCGGGGTGTGGCCATGAAGCAAATCTTTCAGGTCGCTGTAGCTTTCAGGAGCTATGACAGGAAGAAACACAGAATATAAGTAAAAGTGATTAAAAGTATTAAAAAAGTAAAAGCATCTTCTTTAAAAAAAAAAAGATGTGTTTCTGTGTGTAGTTACCAGTAAAGGTGTATGGGAGCTCTGCTTTAGCGGCGTCCTGCTGGGCCTTCAGCTCCTCTTTGCTCAGAATCTTTTTTGGTTTGGCACTGGCCTCTTCATCCTCCTGTTTTCTCTCCTCATCCTCGCTTTCTTGCTCTGACTCCAGGTCCGAGTGGCCATCTTCTTCTTCACTGCTGCCCTCCTGCTCCTCATCCTCTTCGTCATCTTCTTCTTCTTCTCCATCGCCCTCCTCTGCCTCCGATTCCTCCTCCTCCTCCTCCTCCTCACCACCACTCTCTCCCTCTTCTTCATCTTCATCCTCATCCTCATCCTCAGACTTCTCTCCAATGTTCCATTTTCCATCCTGGACACACAAAGTAATTGAGAATTAAACACATTCTGTATGAACATATAAATCTACCAAAAAGTAAAGGTCATTCCAGAAATGATAGTGTTACCTGATAAGCCAGGGTCTTCTGGTCTTCCTTATCCAGGACGAAACCATCATTGAGGTCATCAGCAGACATGTGGACCAGACTCTGTGCAGTGTCCCCGACTTCATCTCCCATCATCCTCCTCAGACGATCAGCCTGGAGAAAGCACAGAGCATTAAAACATGTTAAAACTAAAATGTTATATGGTAATGACACTGTTCAACATCCCTGCACTGTGAACACACCTCTAATTTCTGCAGCTTCTCCCTCGCCTCCCGGGCGAGCTCCTCCGGGGTTTTCATCTTCTCCGAGGGCTGAGCCTTCATCTCGAAGACGAGCTCTCTGACCATCATGTCGTACTCTTCCAGCTGGAATGCACAGAGGAATGTGAGGCTCTGCCACTGATGAACGAAAGCACGCATGTTGCTGACTGATTGGTGCGACCCTACCTTGGGCTTCTCCTCTGGTTTGTCGTCAGATTCAGCTTTGGGCGTCTTTTTCACCATCAGAGACTGGATGCTCTTCCACTCTTGATCCAGTTTCTCAGTCAGCTCCTGTGCCTCCTCTTTCTGCACCTGACGCTCCCGCTGAACAAGTAAACACACAAGTTAATCATTTGTACCACAAGCCAGCACTCAGTGATATGCTACTGAAGGCATAAAAGTTACTCCAATAGGAGGAGGTGTTCATAGTAATGAAGGAACATGTTATCCAGTGCTGAAGTGTCGCTCATTGGTGTGTTTTTAAAATTTTTATGGCAACAGTGGAACTCTATGGCACAGAAGCTACTTCAGGATTGTGTTGGCTCACCTTCTCCTGCTTGGACTTCTGGATGAGCTCTTCAATGAGCTCCTGTCTGGACTTGGCCCTCTGGCTTCCTTCTTCCTCCTGCTGATCCCCTGATGTTCTCTTTCTGAGGAGGCCTCCTCCTCCGAAGTGGGAGGCGGTCAGCTCAGCTATATAAGAAGGAGAAGAAGTGTCACTATTACATACCAGCTCCGTCCTCTATAAAACAGCTGGGAATGACAGAACCCCCAAATTTACAAAGTTTGGAAATTCAGATTTCCATAAATATACAGGTCTTTTTTAGTCCATGGTAACATGAACTGAAGGAGTACACCCAAAATAACAGCTTATATTGAATATTTATCAGATCATTCATAAACATCCGAAGCTCAAAAATTGACAATAAAGGAAGAAAGAAAAAAATGACATGAAGTGGAAACCAGCTCAAGGTACTACTTCAATTTATATTAGATTTACTTTCTGTTCATTTGGTGTTTGGACACAAGCAGTACTCACCTGACAAAAGCCCTTTCTCTTCCGATTCATCATCGCTATTCACAATGTCATTGTATTTCTCCATTTCAGCCAGCGACTGGCCATAATGAGTCAGCTCCTCCTCCTCGTTCAGGTTGTACACATCCTTCTTTTCATGGACACGCTGAGAGACAAAGCAAAGTTTGGCTGAGAGTTATAGAACAAAGTATGGAACTTAGTGATGCTGCACGCTTTTATTTTGATGTCCTTACAGGTAATATTACATCACTGACCTGTCTCTCCATCGCGAACCTCTGCAGGATTTTGTCTTCTGGTGCCATCTTGGTGTCATACTCTCCAAAGCGTTTGTCAATTAATTTGTTGGACTTGTTCTTCTGTTTGTATTCCTTAAGGAGGGTTTCTTTTCTCTACAGATCAAAAATAAAGAAACAATAAATAATTGCATACAACTCTATCCAAAAACAGGCACAACGTTCCGACACGCTACGAATCACTGATTCTTTAGAGTTACAAATTTGTTTCCTTTGAGTTAAAACACCAGTGTGTAGTAGCAAGCTGCAACCAACTGAATACTTTTCAACTGCGTATGAGAGACAACAGTGGCCACCAGGTGCCAGTGCCTGGTTCGTCCATTTTATACATGTGTAAATACATACAAAACCACAAGTTGGAAGTAAAATTGAATCAAGCGTGCAGAGGATGAAGTAAGACTTTCATCATCACTTTAACTTGTGCTAAGTTCTGTTTCAGACTTCTCTCTGTCCTTACAAAGCTCTCAGTCTCTCCTGCAGAAAATCCCTCTCCCAGCATGATACTGTGAGCACCAGGCTTCACAGCACAGACAGTGTTACATGGATGATGAGCTGTGAGCCATGGCTGTCAGATACAGTGCTGCAGTAGAAGAGTTTCATCCTCCTTTCATTTCATCAGGTGGCAAAATCTTCACGTTTTAATCAGACTCTGCCTTCTTTTCTTTATTCCGCACCTTGCTGGGTGATTTTCACGAAACATCCTAAGCCTAAAGATATCTCTTTAATGGGCCACGTGTCAGTGTCAGTGTTTTTGGTATTACAGTAATTAAAAACATTTGAGCGATAAGATCAGCCAGCTGCCGTCTGTAATGCACTCTGCCACTTCGTTACACACGGATAATGAACTTTCAAAAATAGAACTTGGCGGCAGCTGAGTTAATAAGGATGTTGTCATAAGCAGTTTGCAGCGCTGATGAACTCAGAGCATCTCACCTGTCAGAGTTATTCATCAAACCATAAATGTGCGCCTCAGACTTTATTTTGTTCGACAGTTCATTAAGTGTACATTAAAGGACCATCAACTGCAATATATATATATGTAATTAAAGTTCATTTAAAAAGTTAAAAAGATGAAGATAGTTAGGACTTTTTTTACAGCAGCAACCTGCAGATGGTGTTTTATGTCAGAAACAATCCATTAAACACATCAATATTTTACTTTGCTTCACGTATAAAATATTTTACAGTAACTATAAATCGTGTTAATGAAATCTAGCTATTTATCTAATTTAATGTGTAATAACTAGTTATTTATTTCATGTTCTCTCTCTAAGATGTTCTCTTACCTTATTAATGGCTTTGGATCGAGACACACCGGGCAGACCCACATCATGCTTGGTCTTTCTCCCCAGAACATCAAACTTCTTCCTGTTGATTTTCACCTCAAACGGGTTGTTTTTGATCTCGGTGGAGGTCTTGGTTTTGCGGACCTTGTCAGCGAGGTTCCTCTTCTTAGGCACCTTCCCCATCTGTAACATAATGGACTGATGAGCTCACATCACTGACATTACAGACCCTCTTCATCAGGCTAAACTCATCTTCATCGCAACACATGAATTGAACGCGCATTGAAAACATGTTCTCCTCTATTCTGGTGATTGGCTGGGTCGTCAAAAGCTGTTCGCTTTTAGGACATTTTTAGGTCAATGCTTAAATGTATATGTGTGAAATATCAGATGAAACAAAAGCGACGACTGTGTGACCAAAACTGGAGCTACTTTAAAACTAAATATCTTCACTATGAGCCGTCAACAGCATGTAAACAAGCTCCCATCATGACGCAGAGGCACAGTTTACCTTTCAGCCGCGTTCAGGAGCACAGTTATTGAATCCAGGCGGAAGAAAACATGGGACACTAACGCTCTGCCAACTCTGAATTTAATAAATATTACTTTAATCTTTTGCTATCCACGTTGTTTCCATTCCCAGCGTGCACAGTTTGAGGTCAGAGTTCAAAACAGAGAAGCATACAGGAGCTGCTTCCGGTGTGCGTTTCCCTGCAGCGCCCCTAGCGTCGACAATGAGCGGTTCAGCTTTCAGTATAAGGGCACGGATGACAGAAACCTGGGTCTGATTAGTTTACATCACAACAATCGCCAGCACATATACATGAGAACATTATTATACATTTTGGATAATGTATGTAACAAAATATAATATATATATTAAAAATCTAGAGTACTTACTTACTGCTTTCACTGACAAGTTGCAAACAATACCTGTATTCTTATATTGGTTTGTTGGATGTGTGACACACAATTCTGCTTGTTTCCAAAACCCTTTCATCTATGACTAGTTTTAGACTAGTTTTCAGTTTTGGAAAGTACAAATACTCAAGTACTGTACTTAAGTACAGTTTTTTTTATTCCACTACATTTATCTAACAACTGTAGTCACCAGTTTAATTAGCACCACTGTTACCAGCTGCAACATTAAAGTGATGCTAATGTTCAAATACATCCTAATGATAATCCAATAATATGAAATAGACTATTTTGCATAATAAGTACTTCTACTTTTGTTACTTTAAGTTAATTGAAAATCAACTATACTTTAAAAACATGTCAGATAAATAACAGAACATCAAATGTTTGGATTTTATTGTATTGTAATGTATTTGATGTTCAAACATATCTTAATCTTTATAGATTATTTGTACTCTCTTTATTTTTCTTCATCTGTGATCTGCTTGCATTCTAGTATGTGTTGTGCCAGTATTGTACTAGCACTTATGGTATACATTTACCCATTGTGTGCAAAATGTAAAAGTCATTACTGTATGTACAATCTTCGCTGGTAATGCTGATGAATTCTATTTAAATGACTACGACCACACAATACTGACTTTCATGGTAGTGTTTTTTTATTCATGGTTGTAGAAGAGGCAGAACCATGAGAAAAGAAAGGTGGAAGTATTAAGTCTGTAGATGGTATAATGATGAGACACATTTAGATTGGAAGTAGATCAGACGGAGAATACAAATCAGCATAGTTGTAAGAATAAAAACGACAACCTATGGTTGACTCAAATTAAAACAATGACTACAAGGACTCTAGTATTGTTATGGGCACGCTAAAGCTAAAATAAAATGTAATTCAAATAAAAAGGAGTAGTTAGTCATTTAAAGACAATACACACTCTAAGCACTCTACACATGCAGTCCTTCATGAGTTAGACATTCTGTGCTTGTATGTGATGATGCAGATATATCACCCGTAGTGAACAAAGGCAAAGGTACAGGCAAAGGTTTTATTAAGCATCTCAGATTAGGCGAAGCTTCCCATTAGTTTTGCCTTTTGGTTCACCATGAGTTAAACAGACTGATGACAAACTTTACTAAAACAGGATGAATAAACACAAGTTAGGAAGCAATGCGTGGAGATAGCCTTGGTAATAATGCCCTGCAACCTTAAGCACAGCTCCTTTGCCGTCACACCATTGATTACACGTCGACATAAAAAAAATAAAAAATAGAATTGCTTCTCCAGTGTACATTGCGTCTTTACTGCAACTGGAAACACACAAGTATTCAATGACAAAGTCTATTTGCTCAGAGTGGAGTTTTACACAGGAAAGTCCAGGTTAGGGTTCTAAAATGTGATTGATCATGCAGCTTCATAACAGTGACATTGTCATTTACATGTTCTGTAACAACTGTATCTATGTGTGATGTCTGTACTAAAAGCAACGTGTGGTATGAGTTCCCAGACAGTGGTTTATAAAAGAGAAGATTCACAGTGCTCTCTCACAGCAAGCAATCATGGCTCAATATACTTTGTGAGAAAAAGCGCAACTTAAAAAAAAAAAAGAAAAGAAAGGAAAATAAACGAGAACAAAATGAAATATGTAAACTCACAATATGTTGCATTTCTGTCTGTTTCTGACTTTCACAGAGACAGAGACAGAGAGAAATCAAGGGAAAAATGCAAAAAAGCCAGGCTCAAATAATTAGAATAAATGAAAAACATCAACTGAGAATTTGTTTTTACACATTCCTTCATATTAAAAGACTTACAGCCAGGAGCAAATACATTATCAACCCGTGGAATAATCAGCGAGCACAATGCTTGCTAACACTTCCCGGGATGATTCACAATATGTGGTTCAAACTAAATCATCTGCAGGTTTGCAGCACTACAGATCAATCTTGTTTGATAAATATTAAACCAAACTTCCAAATAAAATAAAGATCTGAAGCACTGTACATCATACCTGTAAGTTAAGGCTGCAACTAATGCTTGTGGGAAGAAGATTGAGGTTTTTAAAGTCAACAAAGACCCAGATGTGATTTTGCTTGTATGTGGATGATTTCATCAAAATATTGGATTATGGAAACATTAACATGAACTTTGTATGACTGAATTTTCCAGTTCTCCTGGCCTGCTAACATGTAATTATGCTTCAATGATGTGCACAGCTTCAGAGGTAAAATTAGCACTATGCAATTTGTAATTCTCACTGTCAGAATTTACCACCAGTTAAATGAGAGGGTACAAGCTTCTCTTTCTGCATTCACGGTTTTTAAAAGACACTTGGACATATTTTTGATACAATCCCAATACATTCTAGTGGTTACAACAGTTTAGTAATACTCTTTTTTTTAAAAATGAGGGTGATAAAACCCTAAAACCTCACATCAAGTGTGTGGGCCTGTAGTAATAGACATGCATAAAAGGCCAGATGGAGTGGACAAGACAGAATGCATCACTCACTCACAACTAAAAGCCTCTAATAATTAAAAACCTTTATGCAATCGATCATTTTTACACTGTATACAAAATTGGCACACGCTAACGAGGAAAAATAGGTTAATAAGCCAGCGACAAATGATATCAAAACAACAAAAAGCATAACTGTATGTAACTGTGGCTTGCTCGAAGGGTGCAATGATAGCAGACAAAAAGCGAAAATGAAAAGAGGCAGAGGCCAGCCTTGAGGACCGATCCAACCATTCTAGGAATCTGTCTTTTTTTTGTTTTTCTTCAGGAAGGAAGGAGTGCGGAACTTCTTCTTCTTTTTGGAGGGAGATTTGCTGGGAGACTCTTCACCCTCCTGGTCGCCGGCGTCAGCGGGTTCCTCCGCCTCAGCTGCGTCTGCATCTGGGGCGGCAGGGGCAGAGGCGGGCTCTTCGGCAGGAAGTGCTGGGGCATCGGAGGGGTCATCAGGTGTTAAATCTGGAAGGGTCTGTCTCAGGGTGGCTGCGTCACTCTCGTCCTTATAGGTTTGTTCTGGCAAGGACTCTGATGGGAGGAGGAAGGGGAGAGTTATTGAGTGCAGAGGACAAACTGATGGATCTGCGCTGCTCAGCTTCCACACCACTGATGCCACTACAAAAATCGACCACTGGATAAGCCGTTAAATCCACGCGATTTTCTACTTTAAAAGCATCTACATGTCACTGCATGAGTTCACACAACTTGGCCGCTTTACATTAGTTTATGGCATCTATGAGATTTAAATCAGTTCAATATATGACTGACTTTGAGCAATATCAACAATACATTGCTCCTTAGTTTGACAGAGCCTTAACAATTTAACTCTTCCACAGACAACATTCCCATTAAAAGCCAAAGAAGCAATAAAAAAATAAATGCTTTCACGCCTGACGTCAAAACCAAAAGCCAAACCAAGATGCAGTCTCACTTGCATTAAATAACATAAAAGCACGTCTTCAGGACTCTTTACTTATTAGGTTTAATGACAATAAGCAACTAAATGTAAGACTTTGCTTTGCTTCTTTTCTATTTCACAGGCCAAAGCTGGTACACAGCACTTTAGTTTTACCTTCACTTAAACAGGGAAATCTTAATGAGTCTTGTTCCCTGGCTCATTTGCACCCTGTGTACAAACAAAGAGAAATGAAAGTCTACAACACAAAAATATGGCTTTTCAAAGATTTGTCATACCATTACCACACAGGCGAGGTTACATAATAAGTCAGGGGAGGGGATAAAGTTAAATGAATTCAAAACTGGCACAGCTCTCAAGGATAAATACGTTAAGATTAAGCCTTGAATTATCAACGAGAGTTAGAAAGTCTTAACCAGTGAGTACAGTATTAAATCTGACTGCAATTTAATCCAGTTGCTGGGAGTATAGAAGCTACCTAGAGATGTTCCCTTGGGCCCTAATGAGTGCTAGAAGAGCGTTTTGGTTTCTTGTTTTCACAGAACTAGGTTCCAAATTTACAATAAAGAGTCTCTTTATCTAGAAATTGTTCTTGGAAAGATATATCAACTTGCTATATAAGTTAGCATACCTGGCTAATTTACTTTCTACCTACAGCAGTAGCTATTTCCAAGGCTAAGAGTTAGCATATCATTAGCTAAATAATGTTATACTATTTTTGTCAAAATACAAACAATAAAGCATAACTTGAGCCTTTGTGTTGGTCCAAGTATGTTATATTAAGCATCTAAAGAGTGATATGTCAGTTACTGTACTAATACTAATACCAGGCCTAAGCAGCCCTGCAATACCTGGTTCCTTTTAGGGTTAGTGAAATTCATATTTAAGACCCTATTTTCATTCGAGTCTTCTTTTGCAAGCGTCAGTTGCCATTTCAACGCTCCATGACTGACAATGGCTGCATTTATCCAATTCTGTCTGAAATCATACACCCACTGTTTTGAAACAACAATGATAATTAGTAGATTTTACCAGTCCAAATGTTTGGTAATTCGTCTAGCAGCAATAACTGAGGGGGACTTAAGTGTTTTGTTGTTTTTATTTTCTGAAGGACTGTCAGCTTTGATTCAATTAGGCTTTTCTAGCAAATATCTAGTGATAGTTACTCAAGCGGCTGAGTCATCTTTTAAAAATACTCCCAGCATAGGAAGTTAAGAAGCAACAAGTGCTGGGGCAGGATCCAGTAGGTCGTCTTCAATTGGACTTCCATGGATCAGTGGCCCAAACGGCATCCAAACCACTGCTTCAAGCTCAGGTAGATGCTCACACAGTTCAGTCAGGTGCAAAACGACTACAGCTTTGTTCATATTTAATGTTGCTCACATGCTACATAGGCTAGCGTGAAAAACCCCTTCGTCAAGACCCGAGAAAACACTACACACCAGACGCTTTACATCTCTCACATCCGTCAGAACTGAGATGAGGCCGAACACACAGACAGATAAAATGGAGACTAAACAACACCACACAGCCAAGCACTGGAGCTCAACCATCTTTCAAGCTAAACCGACAGCGAGTCTCAGCAAAGCCAACAGCAGCAAGTCTGGGTCGAAAAGCCACACTCAAATAAAGCACTGATGTACCTTGTAAAGGACTCGTCTGTAAGACAAACAACATTCAACACATTTTCAAAACATTACCTGAGTTTTCCATGAAACAAAAACAGTGTCATATAACATTTATAGAATGTGCATATGTGCAAGAGAGGTTTGGTTAATTTGATAGTGGATCATTGGCAGGAAGAAAAAAGAAGTTATCTAACATAAAAGGTTTGGTGGGTTGTAAGGTTTACTTCAGGAACATCCTCCATTTTTGTTAAGAACAGGTCACTGTCGTAGTAAATAGGACTTAAATGCGTCTTACAAATCCAAGGATCACACCTGAAATAATACTATAAATGTGTCAAGATAACTTTTCTTGTTATTTCTTGTCATCATAATTTGATTTTTAAAAATATAAACCAGAAACAGTGAATTGCTATTACAAGAGAGGGATGAGCTCTGAAATAACCCCATCAACCCGGAAAAAAAAAAAAGATTCAGAGGAGTTCAGAGAACCGAGTTAAAACCGACTGAACAGTCTCAACCCCCGGTAAATATGTTAGTTCAGACCACAGAACAGCTCTGCTAGTGAAGCCATGCAAAGAAAGAGGGTAAATGACCAAACACAGGCATGGAGGGTAATTACGAGGGTGGTGAGGAGGTGGAACAGTACGTACTTACTATGGCAACAGGTACTCTTTTGTATTTCCATCTCCTGATTGTAATCGCAGGCACAAAGAAGAAAAAGCACAAGTAGAAACAAATGTCTATGCAGATCAAACCACAGGCACTGTGTTAAATTAAAAAAGAAACAAAAAGAAAACAAAACCACCAGAAGATTTTTTGTTTTTTTAAAGAATGGTTGGAACCATTCCCAAAAAGATGGAGAATGGAAGTGAAGGGGTAAAGGAGATACTGTACATAGAGACATAAGTTAAATACCAACATTTCATTTTTATTAGATTACACCTGCAATCAAAGCTACTCATCTCCTTCCTCCCTTATACTGACTTTAACTGTTTGCAGACCATAAGAAGAAGTAATTGGATAATTAATAATTGGAATAATGCCAATTATTGTTTAAATTAAATTTACTAAAACGATAACTTCCTAGTATTTTTAGGATCAGTTCTGGTATCAATCATCATGGATGATACTGTTCACATAGGTGTAATCCAATAGTAATAAAGACCAAGAGGGAGAAATATTAAAATAAAAGAACAAAAATAGAGATGTCTGTACTGGGGTCCATAAATAAATGCTAAAAAGGCTTTTTTTTTTCCAAATATAAACTATTTATTGACATTTTCCATCTCTCATGGCATAAACTTGATTAAATGATCAAAACCTCTTGGCCTGTTATTACAGAAAGCACAGCACCCATAGTAGTATTATTAAAGACCACAACATGAACAGACCCCAAGACAGACAGGCAGGTGGACAGGCAGGAGCCTCTGCATTCCCTGTAGACCAAGAAAAGCCCAAAAACCCAGCTAGAAGACTGGAGAAACCCATGCTGAATCAGGCGAGCCGGGTATGTCAAGTATGTCAGGCTAACGTACCTTCCTCTGCTCTGACTGGGGTGCTGGGTGGTGTGGTGATTGGTTTCTCGCCTTTGGACTCTTCCTCGGGCTCTACTAACTCCTCCGGGTCTGAATGAAAATCAGCAGAAATTAAATGAGAAACTGTTCACCACAAATAAATAAATATACAATCTAAATTATATATTTATAGGCAATTTTGATTGAACACCACATTTTGTCTCAAGGAATCTTAAAGAGGTCGACACCAACAACATTGCAACAAAAAGAAAAAGGACAACACAAATAAACCAAACCAGGGAGAAAGCCTTAATCAGGAGAACACTGCAAAAGCTTCCAAACAAATCCCACTAAAATCCACCTTACATTATCCCAAAACTAATCTAAACTACCATTAGTTTTATTGGAAGTCATTCAGAGGCACAGGAGGGAGAATGGACACCAAAAGAGATATATCCAGGACAGGTTAGCAGGAAGAGAAGGGCACCATTATTTACATCCACACATGGGATGCTCTGATTGGATGACTGAGCTCAGACACAGCTTCCTCAAAGGTTAGAACAGCACTCCACTGCAAAAGCACTTTTAGGCTTGAGGAGAGAGCACCCTCAAAGGGAGGGAGTGGTTTGAAATCTCAAAATGAGCTTGCTTTTACTCTTCACATCCTCTGCTCAGCTCCTCGTCCAATCAAACTGCAGAAAGGTATCTGATCTGCCACAGCTCTGATGCCTTTGCATAAGACATCAGAGAAAGGGGATGGGGGGGGGGGAATAATCAAGCAAAGGCTTCGAAGATTGAACTGTGGGTAGGGAGGATGCTTGCGCATGGTAAAACAATGTCAGCAGGCTCCAAACCCCCAGAAAAAGGAGAGGACACAGCAGGCAGGGAATCCCACAACTCCTAGTGCAGCGCAGTATGTGGTGAGATGGACCAAGGCTGAGCAGGGAAGGAGGGAAGCGGAAGGCCAGATTTTAGGCAGGACTCCGCTTCATCTGGTGTACCTGGAGCCTGATCTGCCTTAGCCGCCTCTGCCGCCTCTATAACTGATGGCTCCTTGCTGAGGGCTCGCAGCACAGCGCAGTGGAACTCCTTTTGTGGGGAATCTGGAGCTGAAAGAGGCTCATCCGTGGTGGAAAAAACGTCATCCACGACCCCCTCAGCAGAGCCCTGCTCAGAGGCCGGTGTGGCGGGTGTGACGGGTGGGGCAGTTGGATGCAGGGCTTTCTCTAAGCTGGGTGAGTCATTTGCAGACTGTAGAGGTGCGGAGACAGAGGCTTGACCCTCCGGTAGCGTTTCAGGCTCCAGACAGGGTACGCTGGAGGCTGACCCCTCCCTACTATCGCCTCGTTCCTGCACTGTGAATGTGAATGTGAATGTATGTGAATGTGTGTGTGTGTGTGTGTGTGTGTGTGTGTGTGTGTGTGCGCGTGTGTGTGTGTGGAGAGATAAGATCAC